GTGGGCCCAGTCCACAGGAAGCTTCCAAAGCATGTCAGCAGCTAATAAGCACTGAAATGGAGCAAGGGTTTTCTACATAGTGGGGCAGCTCATCCTGTGGGGCTTGTGCACTTGGCTGTATGAATAGCCCAGCTGCTGCAGATTTTGTTTGTGCAGCTGTGGGATCACAAGATGGATGGCAGTGCCAGGCAGGCCTTGGACACCGGCTCTTGGTCTAATATGTGCAATGCCTGGTCCTGTTTGGTGGACTCTTCTGAACCTTCCTACTTTCTCTGATATCTTAATCCATGCTCAACAGCTTTTGAGAATCCAAAAGTAATAGGGCCTGGGAAGAGAAAACCAAATGCACCACACAGAATTTGTCTCTTTATTGTGTTACCAGGGATTCGTAGGGCACAAAAAAATATTACCAATAGGAACAGAGATGAAGATGATGTGGGTAGCATTTCCCAAAAAGCTAATTTTAAAAAAAAGTTTTGTGGGGTGTTTTTTGTACCAGGGATAGAACTCGGGACCTTCCACTTGTGAGGCAGGCAGCGGAACCACTGAGCTAAATCCCTAGCCCTTAAAAAAGTTTTTTAAAGTAGAATTTATTTTGTAAAAAGTTGTAGGTTTACAGAAAATGGAGCAAGTAAAACACAGAGTTCTCACACATCTCACCCCACCAAGTGTGCCTGTTGTTAACATCTTGCACTGCTATGGTACATTTGCTACAATTGGTGAATCAATATGAATATATTATTGCTAACTACAGTCCACAGCTCATGTTCATTCATTTCATACAGGTGACTTCCAACTCTGGATGGTTTTATTTTTTACTTTATGGTAGTGTAAAAGCAATACACATTCAATAGCCACCATCCTTAGAATTTTGAATTTTGGTCATTTCCTGGGTTAGGGCTATGTGGTACCACACTCTGTCCCAGTTAGATGTCTCCCCAAAGCCTCATGTTCTCATAGATGGGGCTTTTGGGAGGTGGCTGGATCATGAGTGTGTGATAGTGGATTATGGGTGTGATAACTGAATTGTCTACTGATGGCTCTAGCATAGTTTTGGGTGTAGATAATGGGAAGGCCCACGCTGGGTGTGGGTGGCACCACCCAATAGGCTTGTAGCCTGGGTACAATAAAAAAGAAAGCAGAAGGGAGGCTGCTGCTTACTGCCTACCCTGACATGCACTGTTTCTCCTCTGCCATATTATCCTGCCTTGGAGCCAGGCAACTGGACTGAAACCTCTACAAGCTAAAATAAACCTATCCTCCCTTAACTTGGAGTTGTCAGGTATTTTGTCCCAGCATTGAGAAAGTACTAAGATAGGTAATTTAAATTAATTCTTGATATATTCTTTTTTTTTCTTCTTTTTTGGTACTGGGGATCGAACTTGGGTCCTTGCACTTGCGCAGCAGGCGGCGAAACCACTGAGCTAAATCCCCAGCCCTAAATTAATTCTTTTTGTACATTGTTGGATTCAGTTTGCTAATATTTTGTTGAAAATTCTGCATCTGTATTCATGAGAGACCATTGATTTCTAGTTTTCTTTCTCTCTAGCCTTGGTATTAGGGTGATGTTCACCTCACTGAGTTAGGGAGTATTCTAGAAAAGATTGTAGAGAGCTGGTATCATTTCTTTCTCAAATGTTTGATAGAATTCACCAGTAAACCCATCTGAGATTGGTACCTTCTGTATTGGAAGGTTATCAAGTATTGATTCAAATTCTTTAATAGATATGAGCCCCTTTGTATCATCCATCTCTCTTTATACGAGTTTTGGTAGATTATGTTTTTTAGGGAATTGGACTACTTCATCTAACATATTAATCTGTGGATAGAAAGTTGTTCATAATACTCCTTTGTTATCCCTTTAATGTCCATGAGACCAATGGTGATGGCCTCTTTCCTGCCTGCTTATAATTATTTGTGTCTCCTCTCTTTTTTCTTGCTTAGACTGCTAGAGATCTATTTTATTGATCTTCCCAAAGAATCCCTTTTTGGTTTCTGTGTTATTCATCTTTCAGTGACTGTGACAAAATACCTAAGATAATTAACTTAAAGTGGAAAGGTTTATTTTGGCTCATGGTTTCAGAGATTTCAATCTATATCACTTGGCCTGTGGCTTGGGCTGCGGTGACATAGGAATTATGACCTCGAGTATGTGATGGAGGAAGCTGCTCACTTCATGGTGGACAGGAAGAAGAAACAGAGAAAGAGTGAGGCCTGGGACCCCAATGTTCCCTTTGAGGCTACATCCCCAGTGACCCATCTTCCTCCAAGGAGGCCCCACCTGCCAAAAGCACCCCAGGCTGGCAACCAAGCCTTTAACACAGGGGCCTTCAAGCAACATTCAAGATCCAAACTAGAACCATTTGATTGTTCTCTGCAATTTTTTTTCTGTTTTCAGTGTCTTTTAGTTTTGCTCTAATTATTTGTTATTCTGCTTGTGTTAGGCTTATATTGCTTTTCTTTATCTACTTTCCTACAGTGAAAGTTTATTTTAGATCTTTTTTCTTTTGTTATCTATGGATTCAATGCTATACATTTCCTTTTAAGAGCAACTTTCACTGCATCCTACAAATTTTGATAAATTATAATATTTATTGTCATTTGTCACAATTATTTTTAACTTCTCTTGAGAATTCTTTGACTGATATATTATTTGAAAGTGTGTTGTTTAATGTGCAAATATCGTGGGATTTTCTGGCAATCTTTCTGTTACTAATTTCTAGTTTAATTCCATTGTGGTCTCAGAGCAGACTTGGCAGCATTTCTGTTGGTTTAAATTTGTTGCAGTGTGTTTTATGGCCCAGAATGTGATTTATTTTGGTGAATGAGAGTACCATGTGAGCTTGAGAAGAATGTATATTTTGTTATTGTTGGATTAAATAATCTATAAACATCATTTGGATCCAGCTTATCAGTGGTGCTATACAGTCATCTGTGCCCTTACTAATTCCTGCCCACTGGATCCATCCATTACTGACAGAGGAATGCGAATGTCTAAGACATAAGAGTGGACCTGGGGTTCTATTCCTTCCAGTTCTGTTGGGTTTTGCCTTTTGTAGTTTGGCACTCTGTTGTTAGGTGCATATATGTTAAGTCTTATTATGTCTTTTTTTGAGGATTGACCTCTTTATCACTTTGTAGTGCTTCTCCATGTCCCCCAAAGCTCTTCTTGTTCTGAAGTCTGCTTTGCCTGCAGTTAATTTAGACAATTAATCTTTCTTTGGTGGTTTCATGTTTGGAGGGCCGAGTGCTCAGTGGAAACTTGCAAAGTGGGTAAGAGCACAGATATTTTAATCAGGAAGACCTGGGCTGGTGACTTCACAAAAGTCATCATTCTGTGTGCCTCATCTACAAAATGGAGAATTCTCTCTGGATTGTTGTGAGAATGAAAGGAAGCAATCCAATGAAACAGTTAGAAAAGTTTCTCCCATGTAATGTTTAATTATATTGTTACTGTTTGTATATTAATATATTCTATTATCAATATACAATGAGATTTTAGATTTCTACGTGTATGGTCCTTTTTATGAAACCTGAATAGGACACTCTGAGAAGATAAACTTAGAAAATAATTACAAAGTCTCAGGCTGCCATGGATATATTGTAGGTTGCACCCTTAAGAGACAAAAGACTTACCCAGGCACAGTGGTAATGCACATCTGTGATCCCAGCTACTCAGGAGGCTGAGGCAGGAGGATTTGCTTAAGGCCAGTAATTCGTGGTCAGCCTAGATAACATAGTGAGACCCTATCTCAAAAAGAAAAATTACTTCAGGATGACTTCCAACCAGCAGTTGCGACATGTCCTTCCATCCTTCAGGGCCCTTAGATCTCTTTTCTTTTCCATCCCTGAGGCCCCTGTGTCTAGGGGGTGGGGATGTGGCCTCAACTTTGCTCCATCTTCTTATTAAAGAGAAATCACGGTGGAGCTCCTGTCACCCACTGTCAGTCATAGACACACTCAGCTGGATGTGGGGGTGCACACCTATAATCCCAGCACTAGGGAGGCTGAGGCAGGAGGATCACATGAGTTCAAGGCCAGGTTAGGCTACATAGTGAGTTTAAGGCCAGCCTGAACTATATAGTGAGACCTCACCCCAAAAAAGTAAAACAACAAAATCACAGACACACTGTCTGGAACCCCTTTCATTTGTGGACCTTGGTCACACCAGGCCCCCTGTTGAAAAATACAACATCTTTGTTTAATTTTGAGTAGTTTTTAAGAAGCGATAGAAGTAATAGCATAGGAAATTCTTCATTGTATATTAACACATTTTTATAAAATAGTTAGAACTATTTATATATAGTACAATTTTTTTTTAAATGTAAAAGAATGTCACCTTAGGGAACAAACCTGGAAGCATATGGACCACAATAGTCCAGCAGCTGACTCTGGGGAATGAGATTATAAGTTATTTTCATGTCCTTTTATTGCTTCTCTCTATTTCTCATTTCCTGAATAAGAAACACAATTTTAAAATAATGAACAGAAGAACGAATGAATTAAAACACCTGTTTTAACCTGGGTACCGTATACCAAGAAGGTGGCGTTTTCCTTGCAGGAGGCTGACAGTTGTCACTGGAGACTGGCCTTTGAGGGTTGTGTCTGTCATTTCTGTTTCCTGCCCCACCAGAGAGGACTGCCATGCTCATAAGTGTGCAGGGTTGAGGAAAAAGAAAATGACCAACTCTTAGCCACACATTTGCTTGAGTTACCTTAGCCTTTATGTCACCTGACTCTCCACCCAACAACTCGGGTGCCTGTGCCCAGGTCTGGAGTCGGACAGAGAACATTTCTCAGCTCCATCATGTACTAGCTGTGTGGCTTTGGGCAAATCCCTTAGCCTCTCTGATCCTTAGCATCCTCCTTTTAAAATGAGGGCTGTGGTAATGATCCAGCGAAGTGACACAGGTAATGCTTTGCACCCAGTGAGCACTAGTAAGTATCAGGGGCCATGTGATTGTTGTGTTCATGGCCTTGACCACCCTTCTCTATTTCAGTCTGCAGACATCGACAACCACCACGCGCTTATTGAGTACAATGAGGCCGAGGGCAACTTTATTCTCCAAGACTTCAATTCCCGCACCGGCACATTTGTCAATGAGTGCCACATTCAGAATGTGGCTGTGAAGCTGATATCTGGGGACATCCTGAGGTTTGGGTCTGCTGGGCTGACCTATGAGCTGGTCATCGAAAACCCACCCCAGGTGAGCCGGGACTACTGCAGTCAGGGGACACGAGGTGCCAGGAAGTGTCGCCTCCCATGCAGTGGAAGTGTAGGGCTCATCCCAGGGGGTCACTGTGCAATTCCACTCTGCACATTGTGGCAGCAACAAGATGCCACCTTGGAAACTAGATGGCTGTCCTTGGACTCTTGGGGAGGAGAGAGTCATGGCGCCCCCTTCTGGGCACTTTCTTGAGGTACATTCACCCGTTGCCAAGGGCCCAGCCCCAAATGGCAGCTGCAGAGGAGAGGCAGTGGCAAGAGGGTGCGTGCTTGGAGAACAGAGGTGGATGCTTCCTTTCTAGGTGGATCAGCACTCTGCTGCTTGCCAGCTCTGCAAGCAGGGCAGGGCTCTCTGCATGTCTGAGTCTCCGTCTCCATGGTGCATGGCATTAGGAGAGACTCGGTGTCCAGTAGGTGCTTACTCAGCACAGGAGACCTATCATTATGCCTAGGTCAGAAATGTGCTGGGTATCCCAGCCTAAATACAGTCTCAGTTTAATGAAGCATAACGTAAAACTTGCCCACTTAATTTCAGTCACAAGGAGCATGTGTGGGAAGGCAGTTTGAGGGTGGTTAGGGACATCAGGTTCCTGCACTGCCACCCATTTAGCCTGGGTGCTCCTGAGCAAGGTGTAGGAGCCCTCAGAACTTGGGCTTTTTCATCAACACAGTGGGGCAGTGACAGCGATGATGGCCCCATGGGCTTGTCTTGAAGTTCATTATAATTGTAAAACTCAATGCGGTGCCTCACTCACGGCAAATGTAAAAGTGACACCTGTCATCCATGACCCAGGGAGATGGTACATATGCCTCACTGCCCTCCACCAACACTGCATGGCCGCCCTTCAGGGCTTGTAGTCCTTCCTGGGACAAGGCTGTGGCCAGAATCCTGGGGATGGAGGCCCATAGGTAGCTCTGACAATGCTCACCAGAGGAGTGGCCCTCGGTGACCCCACAGGCTACAGGGACCAAAGGTGGGAAAACTGCAGCCCACAGACCAATTCTAGGCCATCATTTGTCTTTTTAAATAAAGTTTTATTGGAACACACTGTGCCCATTCATTTTAGTATTGCCTGTGTTTGCTTTCCTGATCCAAGAGAAGTCTCAGTAGACAGAGATCCTGTGGCACACAAAGGCAAATCTATTTACTTGGAGGCTTGCTACAGAAGTTTACTGCTCTCTACCTGTAACACTCAGCTGTACTGCGTCTCATTTTAGTCCATTTTAGGGCCTAGGAGAGCAGAAAGAACTGAGGCATTGTGAGCTACTACTGTCTGTCAGGAACTGTGCTGATTAATAGTTAACTTAGTTAACAGAAAAATAGGTTTTGAATGATCTTGTCATTTTCTCTTTAAAACAAAGCTTGAGAATATGTCACTCTAAATATACATATACATGTATATGCATTTGTATATATAGCAATAATAGAATTATGCTGACATGTGTGATAAATATACTAGTTGCTAATATATAATGCACACAGCAGAGACATATAATTTATATTATAAATTTTATGTTTCTTTAATTGGAAAGTTTTCATTTAAGAACTTTGGAATGTTTTCCCTGATATAGTCATTTCTGAAGCAGAAATATGGGGTTTGTACTCTGAAATCAGCTGTAGCTAGAGAACTGTTTGTTTCTCTGAGTTTCTCTGTTTAATGTTTTACCGCCTGTTTATGACTGGGTCCTTGGTCTTAAATCATGTCTTCTCTGGGTTGCTGCTTTACTTTTATAAGTTAAAGGAAAATGTACTACATGACTAGATCCTGGTGTGTTTTATTTGAGCATATCAGAACTTGTATTATATCTTTTGTTCTGAGTACATGATGATGTCTGTGCTAATGTTTCAATAAGCATATTGTCCAGCAAATTTTGTTAGCAAATTTAAGAACCCCAACTCAAACTAGTCTAAGCAAAACAAAAAACTGAAAAGCTAGAGGGGTCAACTTCAGGCCTGGCTGGATCCAGGTGCTCAAATGATGGTCAGGAATCTGTCTCTTTCATCATTGTTAGCTTCATAATCTCAGGAAGATACTCGGATCACCTATAGCCAGGTGTCCACAAGCAGCCCAACACCCTCTACTCTTGGCAGCTCTGGAAAAAGAGCAAGTGTCTTCATTGATTTGGCTTGGGTCACGTGACTATCCATGAACCAATCACTGGGGCTAGAGGCATGTGGCTCTGATTGGCCAGGACTGGGTCACTCCTTCCCCTGGGGTGGAGGGGATCAGCCTGACCAGTTACAGAGACTCAGAATTGTGGGAAGAAAGGATGTTCCTCATAGAAATTTAGAAGATGGGAAAATGGATGTACTGTAAGGAGAAAAAAGTTCATGGGAATAAGAACCATTCATACACCCAACTGAACTTCCTTCTAGGATGAAGGATGGGTTGGAGGATGGAAATGAAAATAATCGATAGTCCACATCTGCATTGGAAAAGTTCCCTGCAGCCTCACCGGAAGCAGAGTGGCTGGTTCTCCACCCAGACCTGGGGCTTAGTCATCCATCCCTGGGAAGGTGCTGTCTCCCACCTTCATGGAACCTTCCCATAAACCTGGCAGGGGAAGTGGCTAGGGTCTGAGGAAAAGAATACTATTTGCAAAAATCCAGGGATTTTTCTCAATAGAGTCTCTTTTTTATTTAATGGACTGATCAGGTAGCAAATTAGAACTGGAAAGGAAAAAATTTAGAAGATTTACAAAGGCAGGGAGATAAAATGGGACTGGTGTAGTGGGAGGTCCTTTTTCCCACCGCCAGAGTCCAGGTTGATGGCTTTTCTGAAGCAGCTCAGAGGGACCCACTTCTTTAAGCTCTAGAACTTAAAAATAATACATAGCTCGGCACTTGTGGGTTAAGCAATATGTTGTCTTGATTTCTCAAACTGAAAATGCTGACCGTAATTTATCTTTTTTGGGTGGGACTTAGAATTATTACCCCATTATGGAGATGGCCTGGGAGCAGTCAAGTGAGGAAAGCCGTTCTCTGTCACAACGAATAGCGCCCTCTGCTGGCTGCTCTCTGTGATGTCTGCATTTATCGTCTACCCTGTGTCAGGGCCAAGGCGTCCCCTCCCTTCCTCAACTTCCTCCTTCTGTGTCCCTTCAACCACGTGCAGTTATAAGAGGAGCATGGAGTGAATCAGAGGAAACGGGCGCGGGTGGACTCAGAGGACCCCCCATGAGGAAGCTACATCCTTAGCAGTGTATGGATTTTGTGCTATTTTCGCTGACACCTCCTTTTTTGTATAACCCTTTTTAAATTTCGGCGTAATTGTGGACTAATAGAAAACTTGTAATGATAGCACAGAGTTCTGTAGACTCCCCCTTGAGATTTCCCCCCAAGTTTACATCTGCGTGACCACAGTTCAATTCCCAACACACACACACACACACACACACACACACACACACTCAACCTTGACACATTATGCTGATTGCTGCAGGGTCCACACCAACCCAGGGCCCACACTGCACTCAGTCACCTCGTCTCCTTGTCTCCTTGCTTGGTGACAGCTTCCCAATCTTTCCTTGATTCTCACCACTGGACAGTCCTGAGGAGTCCTGCCTGGGGTCCTGGAGATGTCCCCCAACCTGGATCTGGCTGATGTTTCTCCTTGATCACACTGGGGTCATAGCTTTCAGAAAGCACATGACAGGCGTGAAGCGCCCTTATTGTCCCAGCACACAGGAGGCAGCACTGAGAATCTCCATGACTGCCCTGGTGACGTTCAGTTCGTTACTAGGGTAGGGTGCTGTTTTCTGGGGTTCTCTGTCCTAAAGTTACTTCTTCTCCTTTCCATACTTTCTTTTTAGAAGCAGCCTGAGGGAGGCCTCCACTTCTGGAGGGCACAGCCCCCTTCTTCTGTAAGGAAGAGCCTTCTCCCCCAGGAATCCATGTACTCCAGCATGGATTTATGTTGGCATGGATTCTCATATATTTGTTTTACACTGTGGGCTTTAATCCACCTCTTTGTCATTTATTATGTTGCTCAAGGTGTCTCAGCCTTGACTACTGCGAGCTTCTGGAGTGTGATTGAGTCCCTCCGATAGGGCCCCCAGCACTGTGTGTTTTTGCTTTGTTTTGTAGCACTTCCTCATTTTCTGTTCTCTCAAGCTGCCCCGGATTCATGGTGTCTTCCCTGCCCCAGCCCCTGCATAGCTGAAGCCTTTGCACTTACTGTTTGCCCATCTTCAGTGTGGTTCTGCCGATGAACACCTGCAGTGTATGCCAGGCACAGTGCTGGGTGCTTACATAGTGCTCGGAAAAAGTAAAGCAGGCATGGATAAAGTTTACTGACACAAAACGTGTGTGACACCCTCTCCACAGACAACAAAATATACCATCCTCTCTGCAAGCCCCATAGAGCCTTTGATTCTCACCAGTTGCTTTCATTGGTTTTCTCTGAACACTTGGATCCCTAAGGTAGGAGGCTTGTGGCAGCAACTGACAAACACATGAGCTTCCAACCTGAACATTGGTGGATAGTTCTCCTCCATTTCATGAGTAAGACAGAAGCGGAGTCGCGCGGAAGGCGCCGAATGCCCGCTGCAGACAGGCAGGTCTGCGGGCGCCTTAGCAACGCCCCGATCACGGAATGCACCGAATCAGCCCGCGTCCTGGCAGCAATCCACTGGACACCCCACCCCCCACCTCGCTCCTCTGTACAGCCACCTGGTTCCACACTACAAAGACGACACAGAGGACACCGGACCAGCAGACCACCGGACCAGCAGACCACTGTAATGGGTGAGTTGGAGTCATCTTCACCTCCCATCAGGACCGGGACTATCTTCGGGGAAGGGCAGCTGGAACCTGCAATACAACTCTGCAGAGTTCAACCCTACAGGAGGACAGGGAGCTCAACTTGGGACTTGCAGCCAAAAATCTGCCTGAATCTCATGGGTCTGGGACTAGCTTGCTGAGACTCATTGATTTATATCTGCACACTGCAACCCACGTTGTCTATTTTGACAGCAGAG